TTCTGTCTTTCAATTTGTCAGAGAGTTCCTTATGCAGCCATGCTGGTTTCTTTTGAGAGCTGTTATTTTTCTTCATTGATATTGTGCTGGATTGGGCTTTTATAATCTCACTATTCAAAATTTCTCAGGCTTCTTGAGTTGTTTTCCCCTTGAGGGTTCTCATCCATGGAATCCTTCCCAAGCTCATTTATTTATTGAAATTAGCATAAATTAACTAAAATAAATTAACTTTAAGTTAATAAATTAACTTTTAATTAATTAAAATAATTAATAGATTAACAGTTATTGAAATTAGCTCTCTTAAAGTCCGAGTCTCTAGTTTGACTTTGTTCTATTGCTTGTGCTTGCATCATGTTGAATTCCAATATTGCATGATCACTTCCCCCCTAAGGTTCCTGTAGCTTCAACACCTTCTATCATTTCATCTCTTGGTGAGAATTAACTCCAATATGGCTGATCCCCTTGTTCCCTTCTCTACTTTTTGGGAAACAAAGTTGTTTGCTAGGTTTGTCAGGAACCTGTTACATGTGCAAGTCCATACTCCTCCAAATTTACCACTAAAAATGATGAGGAATTTGAAGGCAAAATGCGAGCAAACAACTTAAGTACTTTTATACTTATGTTGAGTCTGATTGCTACTAAGAGATTTGAGCTGCACTGAAATCAAAGTTCTTTTCTGCCCTCCAATGATCATCTGAAATTTTGTATGATTATTACAAGCCATGAAAAGGGGGAGTTCGGAAAAAAAGAAAAACCAGCTGGCATATGTGAAATGGACAACCAATGGCAAAATGGATGGATTCAGTTACAGTGGCAAGGAGAACACTGTTAGAAGACCTGAAAGACATGGTTAGGGATAGATTGTCACGGAGAAAAACTATATGCTCACTAGGTGAAAATGATTTGATGGCACATAATCAGTTCTGGAATACATCAGAGGAAAATAGCTCTTTTTGTTTAAAAGGCAATACTACATGCAGAGGTAGGTAATCTTGGGGACTAGGAGCACATTCTGAATGCGCATATGATGAATATACAATATAACTACCATAAGAAATTTTCTATTTACAGAATGGCTGCTTGCCAAAATGAGGAACCAGCCCAGTCCATAACAGACCCTGCCCCTTTGTACATGCATAATGATGTCATGCACATGTATAAAATAGGCGGATCTTATCATATAATGGCACTGTGTTGCTTTTGATATTTTGATGAAAGTGAAAATCTCCAGTGTCATTGGTATGAGACCCAAATTCTAATACTCCAAATAAACATGTTACAGACTGGGGCTTGACTGAACCATGTCAGGTACTTTTTGCATGGTTTTTATTATAGGAAATATTTTTTTAAAAAAATGGGACAGGGAAGTGTCTGACATCATGTTTTTAAATAAATACCCTGTTTCTCCAACAATATGGCCTCCCCCAATAGGAAGTACCAGCATGTTTTATAGGCATGAAATGAAATTAAGCCTCTCCCCCCAAATTAAGGCCTATATTAAAACATGAGAAATGGGGGGAATGGTGCGGGGGGCTTGCCGTTAGGAAGTACTTTTGTTGCACACCTGGATATGGTGCTGTCTGCATTGACCCCGATACGAAGTGGCCCACCAATGCCAAGGTCAACATCCAAGCCATTGCCGCCCGCCCACCCGAAGATGCAAGGGGGGGAATTAAGTCACCCCCCAAAAAGACGGCCTAGCCATTTTTTCGGGGCTCAAAAAAGAATAAGACCCGGCCTTATTATATGAGAAACACGGTAGTTCCAACAATAAAGAACTGCATGTCTGGATGAACAGAGTAGTTTAGAGACTGGAAGGTCTTTAGTCAAAAAAGGATAACAAGAATTGGGAGAGATAAGGAATCACACACACACATACATACCAACTGTTGTGGTTAGCCGGCAGCAGGGGCAGATGGCTGAGGAGAGTGAGGACTTAGATGAGGGGCCAGGACCATTAGGGAGTGGACTGCTGCCTTGAGAGATTGTGGGGGCTAGCAGCAGCGATGAAGAGGTTCCCAGGGAGCCTGTGCCAAGTGTGCGTGCATGCAGGATTGCTCACAGGAAAGAGCAGCTGCAACAGCAAGGGTGACTTGGGAGTAAGGCTGCAAGGTAATGGTCCCTTCTTCAAGAAGATAAAAGCCAGCTGTGAAGTGAACGTTCTTTGCAGGAAGCAAAGATGTTTTGGAACTCAGCCTCGAGGACATTACAGTTGGTATTTGAAGACTCTTGTGTTGTAAAATATTTCCTATCTGTTCTTTTTTGGCAGCCTTGCAAACACTTGGCAAGGCTCTTTCTTGTCGGAACTAATTAGTTGGAAGCAGCCTTTTATCTGTGAAGAAACAGGATTCATAGATGAAACATTAAAAGGTTGTGCTGCTGCCTTTTGTCTTGTGTTTGTCTCTTGGAACCAGGTTTGGGTCAGAACACCAACAATGGGATTTCTCTTAGCATAGACAGTATACTGGTTAATGGCATAACTGAGATATCATATCAATGTAGTTAAGGAACTTACTTTGTTGTGATACTATTGCCAAGATAGAGGAAACAGTCCTAGGATACTCTCAGGAGCCAAAACAGAGAATTCAATCTAAGAAGTATAATATTAAAAAGGCTGTTGGATATTAGTTAACAATTTATGTTTATTTAATTTAATGGCTACTTTTCTGCTTTTTTTCTTTACAGGAACTGCAGGCCTAATTTCTTTTTCAAACATGTTTTTTCTTTTATCTCCAAAGATAAATTAAAAAACAAAGAAAAAAGACTAACAAATACCCAACGCTAACAACAACAAAGAAAGAAAAATGTGTACAAAAAAAGAAAAAAAAGCCAAATACCAAATACATTTAACATTAAACATTTTAAAAAAAATCCAACTTGGCTGAGTGCTGAAAGATACATAAAAAATCTAACATATTCCCCTCCTCCTACATAATGGGTCTACAAATACCATGTTTCTCATAAAATAAGGCTCTTATATTTTTTGAGCCCCGAAAAAATGGCTAGGCCGTCTTTTGGGGGGGTGACTTAATTCCCCCCCTTGCATCCTCATCTAGAGCGCCCCGCGAGCAGCCTCGCCATCAGCAGCTCCTAACGGGTGATCATGGCGAAGTGCAGAGAGCTCCCTACTCCCACCAAACACCTTTGGTACAGACCCAAGACCTTTGGCACCCACTGCTGTTGCTTTCCCTTCTGCCCATTCCGCCGCCATGTTTGGAGCTGCCATTTCTGTGTTTGGAGTGCCGCTACCATTTGCAGTGCTGCCGCCATTTGGAGCACCACTGCCACGTTTGGAGCTGCCGCTTCCGTGTTTGGAGTGCCACTGCCATTTGGAGTGCCGCCACCATTTGGAGCACCACCGCCACGTTTGGAGCTGCTGCTTCCGTGTTTGGAGTGCCGCTGCCATTTGGAGTGCTGCCACCATTTGGAGCACTGCCATCATGTTTGGAGCTGCCACTTCTGCATTTGGAGCTGCCGCCGTGTTTGCAGTGGCAGTGGCGCTCCAAATGGCGATGGTGCTCCAAACAGTGGCAGTGCTCCAAACGCAGAAGTGGCAGCTCCAAACGCAGCGGCAGCTCCAAATGCAGACATGGCAACTCCAAACAGCAGTGCTCCAAACAGCGGCAGCGCTCCAAACGTGGAAGCGGCAGCTTCAAACACAGCGGCAGCTCCAAATGCTGAAGCGGCGGCTCCAAATGGCAGCGGTGCTCCAAACAGCAGTGGCGTTCCAAACATGGAAGTGGCAGCTCCAAATGCAGTGGCGGCATGGGCAGAAGGGAAATCAACAGCGGTGGACATTGAAGGTCTTGGGTCTGCCGCAAAGGTGCTTGTCAGGGGTAGGGAGCTCTCCACACTCTGCCGTGATCACCCATTAGGAGCAGCTGGTGGTGAGGAATTGCTGCCCGCAGGGCGCTCCTAAAGGCAAGTCCCCCCCCCGCCCTTCCCATTTTGCATATTTTAAAATAGGCTTAAATTTGGGGGAGGGGCTTAATTTCATTTTATGCCTAGAAAACATGCTGGGTCTTCCTATTGGGAGAGGTCGTATTGTTGAAGAAACATGGTAGTTATCAACTTGCCCATCTGTATTTAACAAAGATGCTCTATTATATAAACAAATATTCCTGATGTGGAAATCCACTGATCTAATAACCATATTGACCCAACGATTTTGTGTTTGTGTGAGTGCATGTGCACATGTGCATGTGTAAACAGTCAACAGGTTACCCCAGAGTTAAAACTAACCTTCAAATCCCTCTGTTAGTCTTCTGTCATTGTATTTAACAAGTAGAAAATCTACAGCTTCTAGTCTCTTATAAACTTGTCTAATCCATTGTCTTTAATCAGAGCAGTTAATTTTGCCATCTTTGCTAATTCAATCAATTTTAAAATAGAAATGGCAGGCATAATTTCATGTCCTAAAAATGGACTTAGTCTCAAAGTAAGATACAAATAGCATCAATACAATATAAAGGATATAATAAATTAGCTGAGTTTTATAAAACCATTAACCATCCTGTCTTATATTTGTGCTATACTCTGGATTTAAAATTATTTGTTGAGAGAAGAAAAATACATAGTCCAATTCCTTCAAAGAAAATGTGCAGTAGTAGAGAAGTCAGAGAAATCATTAGTTAACTTCGTATGAGTTTATACATAGCAAGTTTTTTTTAATTAACAGGATGAAAAAAAAATGCTTCTGAACATTTACCAAGAAGCAAGCCACAAGCCAGCATTTATACTTGCATTGTAATCTGAAGACCACAAGGCTTATCATACCAGCTGGCACTTCTTTCCAAATGATTAAAGTGTAACGATTTCCCTTTATTTGCTAAGTTTATTTTAGAACTTGTTCTCCAGGTAGAACAGCTTGGTTGATGGGAAAGGTTAAAAGTCCCCAGCAACATTATGCAACATTCAGGCAGTTCATTTTTCCATCAATCAGCCTTCTTTCTTCACCACTTTGGAGGACGGCCCTCCGTTTGCTTACCTTCAGTTGTAACAGGGTGTGATTAGGAAGTGGCCAGGTGCAGCAGTAATATGTTCCCAGCTTTTCCCCTCCAGCTAAGAGAGAAAAAAGCAATATTCTGCAGTAGGCTGAAATTGCTACCAAGATTTGCAGCTGGCCAAAGAGAGTTTTGAAGAGCCCTATGAGTTTACAAAAATGATGCTGATGCGAACCAACTGCAAGAGTGAGTATTCTTTACAAACCTTTTTTGCCCTATATCAAAACTTGTCTTTTTCTCCTTTTCTTGTTGCTCCAAGCAGCATTCCTAAGAGAGCTGACTTTTTTTGCTGTTTGTTTGGGGATTTTTTTTTATATAACAGAGCTTTACTTGGCCTTTCCCTCCATGTTTACTAATATATCAAATATATTAGATTAATATAAAGTAAAATGGCTCCCATGTGCTGGAGTAGGCACCAAACTTTTGTTTCTCAATTCATAGCAGCTACAGCTCAGCCAAGAACTTAGGGGCAGTCTGATCATTTCTCTAGTTCAGAAAGGATAACCTATCTCTGAATGCATTAAGTCTTATATGCATGACAGAGAAACAGTTCTAATATATCCTGTGATGTATTTTGTTTATAATTATAGAACATTCCTCCTTCAAACAGATTATCTGATTTTTATCATGGCAAATTTTGTAAGAAAGGAAAGGGATTGTTCCCTACCTCAAAATAGTATTTTTCAGTACTATAGAAATCAGTTCCTACCTACTATGTTTCTTATGTCTAACAAAATATAGTACTTTTACTTCATATGCTTGATTTAATAACACCGAACACAGTCCAGAAAACATAATAGTGCCTTATTTTACATCCGGAAATGTATTCAGATATCTGGTTGCTTAATAACTCCTGCTGTCAACATCTACTATTCCTCCACAGCAGAACAAAATATTTTAAGCCAATGAATCCTGTTTGGATGGATCTTGGATGAGTACAGTGCAGAGTAAATTGAAAATAATTGCAGTCCCTTCGTAGAGATGGGTGTAATATACAATCACATTTGAGGGTGCTGAGTATATACTCTGTGGTTTGAGCATATTAGCTGTGAGTGGTAGGATCTGTAGTTCAAGGAAGGTGCTTTGTCATGAAAGCTGTTGTAAAATGTTGAATGCTAAATTAATGGCTTAATAGAATATGTTTTAACAAAAGAGATTAAAAGGAGAGTGAGTCAGAAAGGAAAGGTAGGGCTTGTAATATTATATACAATTTATCCAAAGTCTGTTACACAAAATGCAATATAATATTCTCCTGCAATATAACTTATCAAGGTTGTTGTTTCCAGGAACTAAGGGTGGTAGGAGGTGGAGACTAGGTACTTGTAGCTGCCACAAGCAGCCAATAGGAACTAGAAAGAACTCACTTCCTAACTATATCATAGTTATGGAAGCATCAGAAATCAGGCATAAAACAAAACTTTTGTCAGGAGATGATGGAGAATACCATTTTAACATTAGGCAAATGCAAATGAACTGTCTGCTAGGGATGAGGCAAATGCTATGACACAGCGCTGTATTTAAAGAATGACTGCTAATCGTGTTCAAGGGATAGTTGTGGGGAAATGTGTAGGGAATAATGTTTGTACACTCAAAAGAATAGAAGATAGAATGCCAGAGACATAGGAGAAAACAGCTCTGAAGTCTCAAGCTGCTATGTAGCCCCTTCAGGTTTTTTCACCTGCCACACTCTTAATAAGTTGAAATATACTCATCTAAGAGAAAGATATTGATATGTACATGCACCCAATATATGATCTACCCACACTTGGTGCTATTATTTCCATATCCATAGGTGCGAGGGAATGAAGATAGAGTTGGAGTCTATGTTTGGAAAAAGCAGCTGCAGCCAGAAAGCCTTCCACTTTCCTAAGGCTCAGTATCATAGCTCATGCTTTTTGCCAAAGGACCCAGAAACTTAAGAAATGGGCTCATTCATTCGTACATTCATTCACAATTACATGCAAGCAGTCATGGCAGCATTCTAGCTGCCTGATAAATTGAACTATAACCTGGCATTTCCAGGAATGTGCTGATGTCAAGAGGTAGCCTCACCCCAGTCTACAAAAGAAAAAGCTAAGATTGTGGATGGGTTTATAGAAGATAAGAAAATGGCAATCAGAAAATGGAGGCAATTTGTTAAGACTGAAAGCTAATATAGGCAACATGACTATCAGTCAACTGCCTAGACCTTAAGCTTTTAGAATGCTCAGAAACAACACTGCTTAATTGCAGAGTTTGGAAATGAACAAACAAACAAAAAAGAGCAACCACACTGAGGCAACATTTCATCCCGGTCAGTACAAGAACTTTTGGAGGAAGGTAGAAGTTGTATGGAGGACGGAATCAAGACCAATAGTCTGTTTATGGGAAAGATATATGCCACAATAAAGCTTTGTGTACAGATTTGCTATACCATTAAATCTCAAATCCTTGGAAACAAAGAAACCTTACAATGAGCATCAAGCTTCATCAAACCAAAGATCTGAGATGGTAATTCATGTATGTATGTATGTATGTATGTATGTGTATATGTATATGTGTATATGTATATGTATATATGTGTATATATATGTGTATATATATATGTTTTCTTAAGTTTTTGAGGTCTTTCTTCAGTCTCTATGGCTTAGAAGAATAAGTACCCGCCTGGATGAACAGAAAAATGCAGTCAAAAAGCTGGAACACACTTCCTCACTAGTCCAACACATGAAAGCAACAGGTCATAGCATCGACTTCAATGGCACCAAAACCCTAGCCACTATAGAAAACTCCAGCCACAAAATTATCAGAGAAGCCATAGAGATTGAAAAAAGACCTGAAAGCATGAATAGAAGAGATGATTCCACCAGATTGTCAAATTATCTGGAAGCCTGCACTCTCAAACAAAAAAATCTCCACACCACAAGCCAGGCAAACACCTGGGCACAAACAGATCCCACCTGATACCTCCAGCTCAAACACACCCCAACCAGACACCCAGATGAAATCTAGCTTCCTAATAAATGATAGCCGTCCATTTACTCAGAGCCAAGTTGCATTAAAAGCCTCCAATACAGGAACACAATGTTGCCAGCCAATCAAGACAAAAAAAGCCACAAAACAGACAGGAGATATTAGAAACACCAATCAAGCAGAACACAGCAAAGTCCAAGACCAATAAACACAGACCAAGACTCCCAACCAATCAGGATTAAGAAAAAAACATTCTGGCACAGCAGTAGGCTAGCCCCAAATTTAAAACTGAAACGGCTGTGAAAGTCTGACTCACAGACGAAGACAATACAGAAGCCTGATGATGGCAGATGAGATTCTGCTGAAACGTTGCTACAACTTTAAAAGCACAACTATAATGATGTGGGAAAATACCCAAACAAAGCTGAATACCATATATAT